GCCCGCGGAGCCGTCGAACGGCGCCGCCCCGCCCCCGCCTCCATCCACGTGGATGCCCGCGCTCAGGTGAGATTTGATTCTGAGATCCCGACGCAATCAACACAGCAAGTCCGTAAGTGTAGTGCGTGGTTTTTGCTCTGGAGGTGGCGGTGATCGCCCCCGCTGCATGGTGAGATTCGGCCCCGACCTACGTCTGCTTGCGGGGTTTTCTTCAATCGGGCATTTCCCATCAGCGGGCACGGCCGCCAGTCAGGACACTAAAGCTCTCGACGTATGTGATAGTGTAGTGCATCTAAGTGTGTGTGTGTGTAAGTAAGGGGTAGCATTGGACTAGGAAGAAGGAAAGATGGCGCGCAGTTCGTGGCCCGTTACTGTTAGGGTACTGCTTCGGTATTCAACCTAGTGTTGATTGGAGAAACCCACTGAAAACTACCGGTCAGAGTAGCAGGCCGCTAGAATTGCGCTTCAGACAGCGACATAATCGACTATTGGATAAGTGTAGAAACTTCTGGCATCGTCAGAGAGGACACCCTAGGGGCCTCCCGGTCAGAGGCACTGCAGTGACATCAGTTGATGACCTGAGCCACCTCTCCTGTCTCTGCGTACAAACTTCCCTTACTTCCACAATATACTTTTCTGGGAGTCATCAGGTAGTACACTTCGGGAGCTTTCTTTTGGTACTCGATGAAATTAGTGCGCCCTTCCGCGCGGTGTCGCAAACGCAGAGGCTGTCGCATAGCTGGAATAGTTCCTCTCCAATAAGATAATCGTCATATAAAATGTTGGCTTGGACCACGCACCGGCTCACGCGTGCTCGCACTCCCCACCGCGCCTCTCCGACACACGCGCAGATGTTCACTTGTCATCGTCAACGCGGGTGGCCGGGAGCTGCCTGCGGCCTTTGCACGGGCCGCCGCCGAACTGGCAATCCACATGCATCCCCGAAGTATAGTTCTTTACGAAGGCAAGTAGTGTGTAAGTTAATTGCGACAATTTAAATTTCAACTGATATGGAAAGAAAAAAATTGCGCGAAACCACTATTTTCACACAATGAATAGGATATTAATTAAAGAACTAATTGTAGAGAACAAATTCCAATTGAAGAATCAATCTATAATCTTCAGTTTGTGCTCGTCCATCAGAATCTGAAAGGCTTTTGTGTCCTGTGGCCATTTGGGATCATTACACCACCCACGTCTGTTCACGGTGGCATGACCTCCACTAGTCAAACGTGCAATTTTCTGGTTTATCCTTCTCTTCTCTATGGTTAAGCAAAATGATTGAAAAATGTCCGCTAATATTGTACAATACAGACGAAATTTTCATGTCGCAGCTTACATGCCCGTGATCCCAAGAAAAGTCTTATGAGGACAAAAATTGGGTTTTCAGTCGGCTTTTTGGCTTCTCGCTGCACTTTGTAAAGCTTTTGTCTGCTGCTCGCTTTTAAGCATTCTTATATCTCTATCGATACGCTACTTATGTCTTTCTGCCCTATCAGTTTTCGGAAAATGGTACCTGAAGTTGAATCTTAGCTTGCCATTATTTACAATTAGCTGTGAAGTACAATGTTTGCTGTGTTCACATTCCATTTATACCCCTGTTAAATGAAATTAAGTGCGAATTCAGTAAAACCTCCGTTCTCGAGACATCATGGAAATTTAAAGATAAAAATGCCGCATAAAATATCCTTTCATTAAGGGAACTTAAATTTAAAAAACATACATACGTTACAGCAGCCTGAATTCAGTAACTAAACTTCAGGAATATACACTTTCCGTGGGGTAGATTGAAGGGAGAGTTCCTGAAATAGTGAAGATGGGCGTAAGGGAGGTATTTTATCAATGGTTTTCAGAGAGAGTAGATTCGTTCACCTTGACTGGCCTCTAGGGCCTCTACCAAGAAGGGGGCTCGCTTCAAAGAAAGGGAAAATCCCCCGAAGAACAAAAAGGGAACAAAAGGGACGTCAGAAGTTGCCGCCCAGAGGAGACTGATGCTGTGAAAACAAGCCCTACTCACTTACGATAGACCCTTTAAACACATAATTGGTTATTTTCTTGCAATAGCCCAAATTGCCATCTACATTATCCTTATTTTGTAAGGCCTGTACATGTGGCAATTAAAAAAACATTTTTCGCATCAAACATTTCTGAAAACTATCTTTTTGTTACGTCATCAGATTCCCGAAATTGTGTGTCCCCAAATTGTCGCTTCCCCGAAACCTTGAATGGTCGCAAAAACATTAATCCCAACCTGTACAAATGTGTGGGTTCTAAAATAGTCAAACTCTTAAAATTCATTACATTCTTAATTTATTTATTTTTTTAAAAGAGAGTAAATTTTTTAAGGTACAGTTCTTTAGAATTGTTCATGTTCCAACCACCCATGTCGGGAGAGCGGTCGGGGGCTTCGAGCTTCACCCGGCTGAGGTGGTGCCCCGCTGGTGGGAGATACCTTGTTGGGGAAAACCCACAAGTCAACGGGTAGGTCGGCGCCGGATCTCGCCATCTAGCGAGGGAAATCACCGCATCTCACCACGATTAAAGCATGCACTGCGCCCAAGAGACTAATGATCTTGGTAACGACCTGTTGTGCGAAGGCTCCTCGCCAATCGATCGGCTATTGTTCGCGGCCGCACCCTTGGGGGACGTTCATTAATTACGTAACGCGGAAGAAGGGGAGGGACAGTAACATCGATTTTCTTTTTTTTTACATTTGTTAAAACTTTTTTTTTTTGAGTTCTTATACTAAAAATTAAAATATTATGTATTTTTTTAAAAAAATATAAATAATTTAAAGTTATTGGATGGGTTTATTGAATCCGTACTGTTTTCTAGAATACAATAACTTTGCCCCCTTGATTCGCCCATGCGCCATCCACAACGGAGACTTGTACAGGCTTGTGAGAAGAAATTTTCTGGTAACAAATTCCTTCGTTCACTCAAAACTTGCCCCCTATCTTACTGCTTTGTGAAGTCAGCATCGACAATTAATTCGGACTTAAATAATCATAAATGTTGATAAACCATACAAATAAAATGATTACAATTTGTTACTATCCTATAATTTATTTTCACTTGTGGCATTTACAAGGGGGGGGGTGTCGCAAGCGTTCCGTAATTATTTAGGGGGGTTCAGATGCGTTAGGGCGGGAGAGGGCGCCTTAAAAGTGAGAGATTTGAGGGCCCCTGTCCGTGGCTGCGCAGGAGTCCGAGGACGCGGGCGCCGGCGCGGGCCCGCCGCCGCCGGAGAGCGCCGGGGCTGGCGCCGTGGGCGGGGCCGTGGCCGGGGCGGGCGCCGAGGAGGACGGCGAGAGCGAGCGCACGCTGCAGGAGGCCGTGCCGTGCCACGACAAGGCGCAGGAGCCGCGCACGGCCCAGCGCAGCGACTTCTGGGTGCTGTACAACTACGTGGCGGCGCGGCGCCGCTTCCACTGCTGGGAGTCCATCACCTACACCACGCACGCCGACTACACCTTCCTCGACAACCTCAAGCCGCTGCTGGAGCGCTGGCAGGGTACGCACTTACTTTCCTACCTGTAGTGGGTGGTGGGTGGGTGCTCCAATGCGGTCTCTTGCAGGTCTGCAGTTGGTACTCCGTAAAGAAAACCTCCTATGTACCTTGCAATTCCATATTAAAGCTGATACATCTCTAATAAACATGCTATTGTTACTATCTATAGATTGAAGAACGTGTGAATCAGCAGCAACTGTCTTTTTTTAATTTTTCATCAGAGTTTTGTTTTTCAAATTGGACATTTGTATAGATGTTAGAAATGTACTAAAATTCAGTAAAATATGTGAAATCAAATAAATACATGCGTCGTGCTAATTAATGTGGGTCTGGTGGGTTGTCAAACGATTTAACGCTGTCAGGGTGGTAGGTAAACAGAAAGAAAATAATATAATTCATTCCCCAGTTGCCTCGAAAATTAATATAGGCGTCCCAATGGGTCTCAGCGAAATATCTCCTGGTTTGGCTGTAGAGCCTTACATCGACAATTGGGCCATTTTTGTTCCTTCGAAATATCGGTCACGTGAAAACTTTTAGTGTAAAAGAAATAAATAAGTAGTCACGAGGTGAGAGGTCAGAGTCTTGGTCGACGATTCTCCATCTGAATCATTGCAACGAATCTTGGTGCGCAGAAGCGACATCCCGTGCGCTGCGTCGCCCTGACCTCCCACCTTGCGGCCCCGATGTCTAGTCTGCTCGAGCAACGCTTAAACGACAGCAACTCGCTGTCAATAACGCCCGCGTCGACGTCTCGCTGCCCAGCCAATCCCGGGGATTCATCTCGTGAGCCGCTGGTCGCCCATTGGGAGAGATCGTTCGTGTTACGTCGGGGTTCGAAACGTAAAATTGGGTGTAACGAGTTTTGATATTGAATTTGGCTCACTAATTACGTAATAATGTAGTAATGTTAAAAATGTTGGGTTAATTAAGGCACTGGGTGTATTTCACACAAAATTGATTAATAGGCTCAGTATTACTGCTAAAATAATTATTGCTTTTTTGTTAGCCAACTTTTAATATGGTTTTCGATTTTGGCATGTGGAAGAAACAGAAGTTATTGTGTTGTTTTGCAAATGCTTATTCATGGACGCTCTTTTTAAAATCGTTTTTGTTTGAAGTTACTCTACTTTCAAAATTATCATGGATATACCAAATTTATTTCTTTTTACAGAAAGTAACAATCTTAATCATTTAAAATTAAATTATTTCCTTAAACTGATTTTTTTTTCCTCTCTTTTCCCCCCTAATTTTTCCTTTTCAATGTACAACTGTGGTGAAATGCTACAGGTTGTTTCAGGCCTAGCAAAATTAGAATATTACACTTGTTTCTGAAGGCATTTTTTTTATCAGGTTGAAGATAATTTTGTATCTTTGTTTTTCTTCTGATCTGTCAGGTTTTTATAAAAAATAACTTTTCCTACTCTCACCTTTCAAGCGAGAAGAACTTTTCTTCATGGACAACAATGGTTTTAGTATTTTTTTTCTAATTTCTTAAACCAATGTTTAATTAGAAAACTAAAACCGTCGCATTTAGATACATTTCATAGAGTAAATTTTATTTTAAAATAAACCTGAACTTTTGAGTTCAAATAAAGTACATTAAACATGTTTCATTATTATAATGTTTTGTTTCATTGTTATTCATTTGTTTCATTGTTTCATTTCATTGTTATGTTGTTTCATTCATATTCTAAAATGTTCCATTTCATTATATACTGAAATTAGTTTCATGCATCTGAGAAAACAAATAATGTTTGCAGGTCCCGTGTCGTTGGCTCTACACGCTCCAGGAGCAGACTTCAAACCAACACTGGACTCCATTCGCTGGGCGCGGGCCTGCATAACTCCATTAGTAGCAGATTTGGTGACATTCCACGTCTTCTTCGGTACACATCATATTCCCCGGGAAGTGCCTCGATCTGCAAGTGCTTTGTCTGGCCCCGCCCCGAACTGTTCCGCGCCAGCCCCTTGGACTAATGTTTCTGCTGCGCAGCTTTATAAATCTCGTAGTCACATTCTTTATCCGGTCAACGTGGGGCGCAATGTAGCTCGTGAATCTGCTACAACACACTTCGTATTGCCGTCCGATATAGAGTTGTACCCTAGTCCTGGAACAATCGCTGCTTTCCTAGATATGGTAAGACGTGGCGATTCACCTTTGCGACGACCTGCACCAAAAGTATTTCCACTTTCAATATTTGAACTGGAGAAAGGTGCACCACTTCCAGAAAACAAAACACAATTGGTGAGTTTGATTATTTTAAAAAGGTTTTAATGTTAAGTGTAAATTGATTCTTCTACCTTGTTGGGATCCTAGGTTTATGCCTAAAGGTTCGCAATTTGAGCAATCACGAATGTATATTTATATGTTGAATTAAGTAAAATAAGAGATGCTGGGGAAGAGGGAATTATAATTCAAAATATTCATAGTGGCAAGTACCAGATCTACACAATAATGGAATTTACTTCAATTCTACGTGAAGAAATAATATTTACTTTGTGGCCTTTACTTTGTAAGAAGAAAAAGTATTGTAATCTTGCTACGGAAAACGGCAAATATGAGATTGAAAAACTCTTTATTCCCGGGCACTGGTACTTACGAACTAGTGGTGCCACAACAGAACGTACTTCCTTGCCCTTAGTAACGATTACGTAATATTATTATCTATTGGCGGCAAAACGTTTGTCCGTGGTCAAAGCTGAACCAAAACCGTTAAGCCGATTTTCTCCAAAATTGATATTCCCCAATCAATTTAAAGGAACTCGAGGCGGTGAGATTGAAACACACATTTTGAATTTTGGGAGCACTTTCCGTGAAGCGTCAAAATTTCAAAATTTTCTCAAAAACGACAGTTTAAAAAAAATTAATCTTGCCTTCGGATACCATAAACGACGCTTAAGAGAATGGCGCCAGTCTCATTTTCGTTGAAATCCCTGATTTTTCGAAATTGCGGAAAGTTAGTTGTGTTGGTTTTTTGTACGGGGGAGGGAAAAAGTTAACATAAGTCAATAATTAAAGTCCAAACTACAAACATGGAAATTGAAATTTTTGCCGTAAACAAATCTGTTCTAAAAAATCAATGTTTAAAAAAGTAATGTAGAATTTTTTGAAAAATCGTGTTTTCTCGTATTTTTGCTCGAAATTAATGCAATTTATAAAAAACATATCTTCTCAAAAAACGCTCCAATTTTTTTTCAATTTTTTCCACTAATAAAACAAGATTAACTTAAAAGAATGGCTTAAACCTCATTTTCATTTATCACTAAATTTTAATAAATTAGCCAATTTAGAAATTATGCGAGAAAGTATGTGCTGTTCTACGAAGCATCGCTAATGGTAAATCTATTTGAATAGGCTGAATACATTTATTTTATTATGAAACTCTTGATTTTTGTTTCTTTCACACATTATAAATACACCTTTATTGTATAAATAAAGTTATGTAATGCTCCAGTGAAACACAGCAACTTTTTGGCAGAAAAAAATTCGTATTGTAGGACCCTGATGGTGATGCCCTACACAGCATATAGAATTCACAGCTTTGGTGCTCACTTACTTTGGCTTGCCAGCCTCAAGCACTGTCTGAGGCTAAATCACTTGACCGGACTAAATGTATTTGTGTTATGGCTTTGTTACATAATAACTTGATAAAACCAATAATATAATTAAAACTAGTGTACATATGCTAAAGCAGCCTTTAAGATGCTTTGCAACATTGAATCTGTGTATCTGGTTGTTGTAGACTCCTTTCATTTCTGTAGCTACAATGCAAAGTTACTTCAGCATCACACTCAGTAATGAATGATTTTCTCAAAATTAACTAACTTTACATAAAAAAGAAGGTATAGGTTGTATTTACTGCATGAATTAATTATCAAAATGTTTTAGTTTACTTTCATGTAATATTTACTTTGCAAGAATTGTGTTTTATCAAAGAACAAGTAATACATTTTTTCATGATTTCTTAATTTCTCAATCCTCTAATTGTAGAATTGAAAAAGGCCTTAGGAATATTATATAAGAGTAAAAGATGGTATTTTTTTTCTCAAAAATAATATTATTGCATTTGAATGTGGCACCAAAATGTATTTTTTTGGCTGTAAAGAGGTGGTGGTGAAGAGAAAGGTGCTAGGAAACCTTTCAAAACTTGTATTTTTATGGAAGAGTCGTAGTATAACTACTCGTACGTCATTTGGTTTTAGGAAACTTAATACCATCTGATCTTGGATACCCTTTGTACTCGCTCTGTTAATCTTTTCTTAAAACAAATTTCACCGTAAAGATGATGAAGTGTTGGTAATTATTACAAGGCTTTATTTTCTATTCATCTTTCTTCAATGTTGCAGAAATTTTATTGTTGTAAACTTTTTGTATCTGAGAACATCATTAATTCTGACTATCGAAACACCTTTAACAGATATAAAATTTTTGTGTCTGTGCTTCCAGGTTAGCATGTTGAAGAATGGCACTGCAATTCCATTTCATAAAAAGCTTTGTCCAGGATGTCACAATGTTCCTCATAGTAAAGAGTGGCAAGCAGCAAATATCACTGAAGGTCTTCATGTGTTCCACATCGGTAAACGTATTGGATATCATGTACACTGGGAGCCCATATTCATAGGCACTAACAGAGAACCTCTATATGATGAGCGCCTATCATGGGAGGGAAAGTCTGACAAAATGACCCAAGTAAGAGTTTACTTTACTTTAGTTCAGTTTATTTTATTGTAGTTATGTTTTTGATAAATTATTATTGTTGTTTTGTTGTTGTTGTTGTATTCTATGATGTAGAATTAAAGTATTTTCAACTAGCTTTAACTTCCTTCTCTTAAAAAAAATATTCCTCGAAATTTTCTGTATTTTGACTGATTTGTAGAGAACCTGAACATGATGTATTAAAAGGAATGCAGATACGAATGTGATTCCATGAACATCCATTATTTTCTTCTAGCATAATCCTTTTACACAGATTTTTTTTTTTATTTCCTCACTTGTGTGAAATCCAACATTTTAATGTTGCTATAACAAAGCATTGCATTGTCTTTTCCTCTGTTGCTTCTTCCTTATACATAATGCACTAATGAATAGTTCTTTTGTCAAAAGGAAAACCTATTCTGCTTTCATTTTTATTTCATTCATTATTTTTAACAGTTGTTTTTGTACATTCAGAAATTTGAGTACCTACTTGAAATTACATTAATTATTTTTTCCAAGGTCTTCTTTTTTTTTATATATATATATATATATATATATATATATATATATATATATATATAAAATATTTGAAATTACTTGTGTGTTAAACAATAGTTATGAGATGTATACTCTTTGCTCATTTTTGCTCCTTTCCTTGCTAGGGATATGCCCTGTGTGTACTGGATTACGAATTTCATATATTGGATAATGCTTTCTTGGTGCACAAACCTGGAATCAAGACCCTTAAGAAGGATCCACAACGAGCAGTTTTGGCCAGCAAGACCAATAATCTTATTAAAAAAGTTATTTTTCCGGAGTTGAAAGTTCTTTATGGAGTTCGTAAAGGATGTGCAGTCTGACCCACAACAAAAATGTTTTTAATGAAGAAGAAGCTCAGGTACGTGATAAAGTGAAGAGGTGCAGCATTGTATCTAATTTTAGCTAAGAATATCTTTTCACAAAGAAAAATTTTGCATTAACAGTTTTTATTTCCAGTTGTGTATGAAATGGTTAAACTTGAATACCCGCTTGATTTCATCAGGCAGTCTAACACTTTTTTACTTATTATCTTGAAATACTCTAGAGTGAGATTAGTCTCCTACTGTTATATTTCAAATTTTCTTTCATTCAGTTATGGGGTGGGAGGCAGTATCGAGTTCTTTCACAAGTTAAGGGAGAGGAGAATACCTCCATTGAATTGCATTCGAAATGGGATGTAACAATTTTGATCAAGAAGCCACAGGTACAATCAGATCTGTTTGTTTTAAGAGAGGGGGAATGCACTCGTGAACAAATCACAGAAAAAAATTATTTCCAGTTAGTTTTATTTTCTTGAGTTCTGTAAAGCAAATAATGTAGCACTAAAAAAAACTGGAGATTTTGACAGAAATACATATCTCTGATACTGAAGTGTTTTCAAAAACATCGATCTGCAAGGGTGCTCAGGGAAAATAAGCGTAGACCATCTTTTAGATCAATAGGGTGGGAAGGACCTTCTTTTAAACATAGCACCCCCTCCCCTTTTATACAAGTTTTATTATTTTCATTAGATTTACACTTTAACTACAGTTATCTGAATATTTAATATTGTATTTTCACACGTGTTTTAAATACATTATTATAATGAACAAACTTGCGTCAATAGTTGGATAACAGTTAATAATAATCTTTAAAGTCATATTACTGATGCTACAGGGTTTGGCCATGGTCTTCCTCAGGTATTGGCTAAAAGGGTATGTGATTAAATTTTCAACTCCTTGCCAATACGTTTGACAAATAACTGAGGAAGATGATCCTTGATTGAAGAGTCATGTTGTATCAGTAGTTAAATTACTTTTCAGTAAAAATATTACTACTATTTGTTATGTATGGTCATTAATAAAGCCTTACTAACATGACTGACCTTAATTTTTTTAAAAATAATAAAAGGTATTGTTAAATAAATACTACAATTTATTGTGAAATATAATACAATTTATTCAACATTTATATTTAATAAAGAAGGCATCGTCATCATCAGTACCCTTGGTTTAGGAGCGGTGCTCCTGTCCTGTTAGTGGGTAGTAAAACAGTACACTTTCATGTGGTGAAGTGTTCCTGATGGTGCCATCTTGTTTTTGGTCTGCCTCTATCCCTCTTGCCATTTGGTCTCTAGTTTCATGCCATCCATGGTAGACGTTGTTTGTCCATTCTTTTCACATATTTTCTCCATATCCTTCGGTAATTTTTCATTTCTTCTGCTAAGTTTCCTGTTTTTAGTTCTTTCCTAATTGTTTCAATTTGAATTTTGTATCTTCTTGTTACTGAAGTTGGCATTAATACTTAAACTTTCTTCCATGCTTTCATGCAAGTGAAATTGTCTCTAATTTGGTTCCTTGCTTTTTGTACTCAAAGGCAAGTATAGTTTGCGTCGCACAATTTGTATGGGCCCTCATTTAGGGAAATCATATTAATAACTTTAGGAGCCGTAAGCATGCACAACTATGCCCCTCCCCTCACCAATGAATTATTGAACATATGCAATCAAACTCAATGTGAAATAAAACTAGAACCTTTTGATTTGCCAATGTGATATTCTTATCATAATAGCAATATGTGCATAAAAATAATATTAAAAGAATGTCATCTGTACATTTTTGCTGTACTTTTATCTTCAATATTTTTTCAAACATGCATTATCTTTTAATAAAAGCAGCCTCTGATTTTAATAAACTAATTAAACTGAAAAGAAAATGGGGGGGGGGAGGGGGGAATCGTTTTTAAGTGCCTGACCCTCTGAGAACATAGGTAGTGCGTAAACCACATACAGGATTTTTTTTAAAAATTAAAATTTTCTTGGTCTTGCCCAACTTCATGCCTTGTGAATTGCAAGAATATGACTACATTATTTTACAATTTTTAGAAATATTGCTTAAATAGAGCAATTTACTCATAAATGAAGTAAAACCTCCATTTTCATTACAACCTCAGAATTTTCAAAAAAGATAAACAGTTTTATGAACCTCTCCTGTACTTTCAGAAATTATGCTAGATACATAATGCATTTATTCAACAACCTAATAATCGTTACTAACTTCATCAACGTATGAATCACTAGTAGCTTCTTTGAACAAAATGAAAAACACAAATTTATATGGGAGGGAAGAGGCAAGAAATCAATTATTGATTATATAATGCCAGTGAAAACGTATTCAATAAAGTGAAGAATACAAAGGTGTTTTAGAGAATCAAATTTGATTTCTTAATCATCTTTTATAAAGCAAAATTCAACTAAACTCTCAAGCTGAAAATGGAACAAAGGACAGAGAATTCCCTCAAGCTCAAAGTATATTTGCTAGAGGATGAAAGTATTAGAAACTTGTATGAAAGAAGATTGGAAGACAAATTGCAGACAATAGTTAAATAAGATATTGGAAGTCTCTTGAATTCAATTAAACAAGCAATGCTTGATGCAGGGAAGGAAAGCATGGGAATGAAACCTTGCAAGAAGAAGAAATGGTTGAGGAAATGGGACAGTGAAATTAAAGAGATAGTAGGTCAGAAGAAACAAGCTTACAGGAACTACATGCAAAAACTAACATTAAAACATTACATAGAATACAAGAAAGTAAGGGCCAAAGTAAGACAACTTAGCCAAAGGTACAGAAGAGAAAATTGGAGAGCACACATTAAAAGTCTGAAGAGGGGCATGGGTCTTCAAAATAAGGTTCAAAATTCTGAAACATCTTAATATGAATACAAAAGATGCAGTCTTGCTGAACAGCATCCCAGAGGAAGATATACTAATTGGAAACAAACATTGGAAGACTAAAAAAAGATGGAAAAATCAGGAATACCTAGAAGATTAATCTAAAAGGTCTACTGAACCAGCACAAACAGAAACAGGATCATACCTAAATGCCTGCAGTTGATGATGATGACGATGATGATGATTTTTTCTTTTACATTGGGATGTTAAAGGAAGTAGTATTATATAACAGTTTTTTAAAGTACTGCTAGTTAAGATGTAATTTTAGATCAACTTGTGTCAATGTTTCAAAAAACTCTGGACAAAGGAGATTTTCAAAAAGTCTGCAAATTTTTGTTTTGATATTGTATGGAGCTCTAAATCATATGATGCACATATTTAAGCGTCATCTACCAGCAGAATTAGTACGCAAGTTTGATTTAGTGCCTTGAACAATACATTTGGTATAGGGTATTGAAAATAAGGATCTAATGAGATCATGTGTTGGCACTAATGTTTCGTGATTCAATGTTGTTGTTGTTTTTTTGTTTTTGAAGTCTTTCAAATGAAAAAAAGTTTTATTTAAATTGTACTGTTACAGATAATAGGAGGCAATCCACTAAAAGCCCCACTAGTTTAATAATGTAATAATAATATTTGGGATAACCGGTTGAAGTTAATTAAAATTCAACAATTGTAGTTAAATTATTATTACATTAAATTAATTTTAAGCATATTAATGACAGCTAATCATAAATTTGTTAGTCTATTTTAAAAACTGAGATCATATCATTGCATCCCGTTTCATCCTTGTCGCAGATTCTGACCCTGATTTTCCCTGACTTCCAGATGAATGAAATTCCCTGACTTTCCCAGTTTTCCTGAACTAAGTGAAGGATAGTAAGAAAATTTGCTGAGAAAGGTCAGTAGATTATTGGAGAAATCTGGCCTGCCTTGCTTGATTGCCAAAACATTTTCTGATGGTTTTCTTGAACTTAATAAAGTCCTCAAATTCAAACCTTTTATCAAATTTTCAGTGTTAGATAAATATATGTTAGATGTCCTTAATGAAGAATCTAAATTCACATATCTCAATAGCTGAAAATCTTTTGTTTCAGGTGACACATCTAAGTACTTAAAATGGATCTACATTCATTGTTCAATTCATCAAGTCTAAAAGTGATATGGATTGATCACAGTATTGGTGCTGTGCCTGCACCAGGCAGTGAGAACTATACTGTTAAATGGAAGCAAGTGCAGTGAATTGTATGTTCTTTCCAGTTTTGTGAATTAAAGGGAATTGAATAAAGAATAGAAATAGCATTTGCCATATGATTAAGGCAGCTAAAAGACCTATGCAGAATGCATGATTAGTCACCACTTCAGTTGAAAGTGGGTGCTCAACCAAGGTTGTAGATAGTGTAGATGAGACATTCCTGGAGAAAAGATACTAGTATGTAGAAATAAACAATTTTTTTCAAAGACAAATGGCAGTGTGCAGTGGTGCTAATGTTTTGTGGAATTGCTGAACGTTACTTGTGTTTTTGTATGTTGGGATTAGTGCAACTTTTTGTTCTTGATGTGACAAGGTAATCAAAAAACATTCTTGGATGTCATGAAGTAGGCTGTTGTTGCGTATTCATGCTAAGACTGATACGGGGTATATGATGGTATATAGTATTGATGCAACAACTGAAACAAACTTTGATACATAGAAATAATTTTATTGATTTTATTTTAGTATCCCTGTATTTTGGTGCCTGCAAGCAAAGATCGTGATATTCTTGTTAGTCTTCAGCTGGTATTGAAATTCCAATGTTTTATGTTGTTCCTATTTCATGTAAGATTTTTAATGATGACTGTTTTATTATAGTGCCATTATTCATATATATTTTTGTTACATTCTAAAAATAGAATTTAGAATCTGGCATTTTTAGATAAGGCAGCAATAATTTTGTTTTCTCAAAATAGGTGATAGGGGTGTGGCATTTTTTGGTTCAAACACTTGCGAATATTGCAAGTTTTGTCATTCAGTTAGAGTATGATTCTGTTACAAGTAGAATATGTTGCTATTTAAGAACTATAATTCTCAAAATCAACGCCTAAGTTTATATTGAAGTATTGTTTGTTTCCTAGAAAAAAAATACATACAGATATTTAATATTCTGTAAAATTGAATATACTTTGATAAAATTAATAATGTAATTGAAATAATGGAACTTTTGTTTTTATGGAGTTTCAAAAGAAAGGTTACTTTTTTTGTTTGAAGACTTGAAATGCCATTGCTGCTTTGTTCTAGAAAGATCTGATGTAATAATAATACTGCCTGTTTTGGAACATGTGTTAAGCTATCGGAAGAGAAATAGGGATGGTGTTTTCTTAAGTGTATTTCAAATTATTTCCATTGATACTTCATTTAATTTTTGTCAAATCACCTTAAGTGTTGTTACTTAAATGCCTTTAGATCAGTTCTATAAAATACTTTCCTTAAATGTGGACCATAGATGTACTTCTTTTCTTGTATATTGTAGCTATCCTTCTCAATGGAAGATTTTTCAAATATCAATGGATACGAATTGGTTTCATAAATGTTGCTTGACTGGAATTTTCAGTAAATCATACTTGAAATGCAGTGAACATTTTGCACCAATTTATAAGTCATAAAAATGTGCCTTATCTTCTCATATCCTAACTTTTCTACAATGTCAGTATTGTCTAGCATTGTGCTGTACTGCAAGTGACTCATTACTATTGCTTAATTGTATAGTGGAGTTTGGGTCACAAGAGTAATTTATGTCTTATTTTTAATTAGAATTTGCAAAATAAGTTTTTTGAATGGTGATCTGGGCTAAATGCTTTGCATTGTATGTAAAACAAAAGAATAATTTGATGAAATGGTTCTCTTATTGTTCCTACATTCTGTATTCTGTAAGTATTTAAATGGAACTTGTAATAAATTGAGTGTATTTGTATTGGCATGTTACGTTGGATTGAAAATCAACCCATAGCCCAGATTACGATTGTAATCTGATACAAGTACATTTAAGGTAAATCAGTATTTATTTCAGTGGGCTTCAGTCTCGACAATTTTCTGTGCTGTTGTGCTCCTGCATTGTAATGGTGCTGTAGTCTTTGGAGTAAAAGCCTGTTGTAACATGGTTGCCTGTTGATGGAGAAGTGAATTTTAGCCACTTTTGCTAAGAAGAAATTTTAATGTTTAGGTATAATAATCAGGTATTTTTATCGAGTTTGCTTTAGTTTTGTATCACATTCTGCTCAGCTGAGGAACAATCTTCTACACATCCTGTAATAGTGAGAATGGCTGATTTAACATTTTTATTTTTAATTCTGTATTTTGGATTTGTATTTTTAAAAGTGTGAAAAATTGAACTTAAAAAAGCCCAGGATTCTTTCAGGCAAGTAAACATTCAAAAACTTCATTTTTTCCATTTTTATTCATAAAATTATTTGTACAGATATGTGGCCTTCCATTGAATGCAATTCCTTTTTAATAGAAATTTATTAAGACTCAGACTATTTTAAGGTGTCTGAAGAAGTGATGACTAGTTGGAATAGATAATGGATGAAAAGCAATTCCAAGAAGGTGAATTATTAATTTTTGGGGTAAAAGTAACATGTCTGTATGCAAATAGAAATTCAACTACCTTTGTACCAACTACCAACGGTTTAGCTGGTTGTCTTAAACACACTTATCTCAAATCGCAATTAAAACTATCAAACAAATCACAATTTCTTTACTATAAAGTGAAGGCATTGACAATTCAAAAATAAATTACTGTCACTGTATTTTGTATTGGACCCTTTCGTCTTTAATAAGGAAATATTCCATCTCGTCCACGAGGGCTTTGAAGTTTCCTTTCCTGTGATAATTCATGTTAAGGTATACATTGTCCTTTTCATGCAGTCGTTCAATTCCAAAGTCCAATAAATAGAATAGTTAATGATAATCTCAAAGATAAATTATTTTCTCATGAAAGTGTTAAGAAATCCTCTGTAATGAAGACTATGTATACATGCCTAAATTAACATTTATGTTCACAAAAAAAGGTAGTAAAACCTATAAATATTATCTAATATATTCTCTATAGAAACAGTGAAGACCTTTTTTACGAATTTTGAAATGTAGGTGTTACAAAATCAAAAATAGAGTATACAACAAAAGAGATGAGAAGCATGATATTAAACTTACCTGATTAAAAAAAATATATAAGAAACAAAATTATCTTTTTGTTTCAAACAATCGCTAAAGGTGAAAAAAAAAATCAGATTAATGTTTACATGAATTAGTATTAAATATGCAATACCTGTGTTAAAACTGGCTTTTACTTTAAAAACATGTGAACAGTATAATTGTTGCTTCAATAAAATGTGATGTATATGAACATATTGTTTCTTGAAGAAATATTTCTTTGAATTAAATTGCATATATCACTGAAAAGTACTATTTACTGCAATAACTGGTTCCTTGACTTGAACTACTTGTATTCTTCACTTTTTTGCAAACAATAACAATTTGAGAAGGTTTACTTTCCTAGAACATATAGTCGGAGCAATTTTTTAAAATGTAGACACTTTCATAAGACATTCTTTTGAAAGAAAGAAAGTAAAAACAAACAAACAAATCAAACTAAATAAATAAACAATTGCATGCTCTAATATCCATAATATCATAGGTTTTTGTAATTGGAAAAGCACCAAAGGTCTAAAAATTGCATTAATAATAATAATAATAATAACAATAATAATAATAATGGTAATTATAATAGTAATAATAATAAAAATAAATGAATAAATTTGTCACATAAATACAGCATACGCCATGTGTGACAAGTCAGGATATGTATAAAATCATACAATATACAATACAAATATTTCTGAAAATTAAATACGAGACCCAAATTAAATTTAAAATTAAATTCTCGTATTAAAAGCAATGTCATGGAAAGCTAAAATATAAATTAATATTAACTTTATAATGGTAGTGTAAGAAGACACGAGTTAAAAATTAATAATAACATAATAATAATAATAATAATATAATAATAATAATAATAATAATAATAGATAATAATAATAAAAGATTTCTTGTAATTCGTGCCTGCGCCAGGATGTAGGGCGCTCCGGTGCCTCGGTCGGCACCTCCGCCTTCGTCACCCGGCAACCCAGAATCACGGACTGGCCGTGCGAGCCTACAGATCATGCAATGGATTTTATTAAGTTTTTGAAATTAATAATTATGCTGCCGCACCTGTACATGTAGTTTTAACAGACGATAAATCGCTATTCTCAGAGCGAGGCGCATTCGTCGAATTCCTTGCCACGCGTTGCGATGTCGAGTTCCTCCTCCCCTCGCCCCTCCCCATCAACGGCCACCCGAGGACAGGGCTCGGGGAAGTCGGCACGGGCGACGGCCCCGGCATTCGTAAACGACCGGTTGGTACCGATGCATAGTGACCATAAAGTAAATACTATTACAATGTGTTTTAGGTGAAAATATGCCGGTAATTTATAAACCCTGTTAAATATAAAGTCGACTCCGGTTATAGTGAACTTCAGGGGACTAACAGGTTTGGTTCACTATATCCGATGATTTAAAAATGAAATATAATTTCTCCACAATTATTGATTTTATTAATATAGGTATATAGCAAAATTCATTCACAGCATGGGCATTTCCAAACACTGGCAGACTGAACATTTCAATATCTTTATTTTACCTTAAAAAGTAAATTATTTTCAATTGTTTGCTGCGTAAACTTTTCATTAGTAATTTCTCTAGATCCTTCTCCAGAGTTCGTCCTTCTCCATACTTCTTCTGCATTGCTCTCCGACTCAAAGTATCGTAATGCACTTTTGGAACACTGTCCCACTGGCCCTTCAGCTCGCCTAATAACATACGAGATCGAATTAATTTCCAGGACTAATTTCCTACATTCACTATAGACAAGGTTCAGGTTCACTATAACCGAATCTTCTAATTTTGAAATGTTAGTGAAAGTAACTTACGTTTACGATAACTGAGGGTTCTCTATTCCCGAGCTCATTATAACCGGAGTCCACTGTGTGGTTGGCAAGTCTTTGTTCTTTATTGTTTTAGCCTTATTTTCTGGATAACCTGGGTTTTTATTAACTGAGATCTGCCCCGGCCCCAGGTGATCCAGTATAACAAGGTTCTTCTGACCTCACTTTTCCGGTATCGGGGACTTAAAATTGGAATTAGTCTGTAGAAAAGTCGCCGTTTTTCGTGGCAACATTTCATAAATTTTTGTGCTACGTATGTAGTATGCCACGGAGTAAAAGCAAACGAGAAGGTAAACACAGAAGAGTTCCTCACACAAGTTCGTTAACAGTTCCCGTAAAGTTCGTTTTATAAATATGATACAATACAGATAAAATTATTAGCCAAGTCATTACCCAGTCGATCTTATTGAATTTAACAGCCTTCCGGGAAGTACGCGGAAGTGGTTCCACAAATGAATTTCGGTTCAATGTATATGGTATGTGGGTCAATGGATATTGAAGGGTAAGAAGACGAACAAGGTGAAAATTATATGGCGGACAAGAAATAGGTCAGGAATACATAATACAAGAACAAGGAGACGAAGAGAGCAAGAACGAGGGTTCGACAGACAAGAACAAGGAGAGAGAAAATAGAATCTGATTTAGCCCAATACTGTATATTTTGTTCTTACGAAACGAATAATGTGCTCTGCACTCTCTTATTTCCCGCTTATGAAGTCTCTGTTCTGCTGGGCCACGACGGCTGGACAATGATAATTTAAGGCATTTGCACCCATGTTATATGCGGGTCTCCAGTTCGATTCCCCACACAAATCAACTTCATGAATTATAAGGGACAACCCTTAATATTTATATTTCTTGAGATACTTGTTATTGAAGAGAAATGATTGAAAAGTTCCAATGAAAATTGGAGGGTATATAATGTTTGTGCTGCTCTACGTACTGTGCCAGCAATACTTTCCTTGATTGGCGAAAATGTTAAATTGGCAGAAGGTGTAGTAATCAGTCTTTTATGCTTCTCTCATCGGTCGTCAGTTCCTTCTTCTGGTGTACTCATTCAGGATAGGGCACTCACCCTTAGGATAAGTTGATCTGGAATTTTCTGATCGCTCTGTAGGCAATCTCAGCGAACAAAACTTGATGTCAGGCCTCACATGCCTTCATATCTTCACTTTTGCACACTTCCACTCATCTCTCTGCATTGTTTTCATACAGTAAGTCTTCACAATGTCTTTTGCTGTTGTTGCAAATCATAAGGAGGATTAGCGGCTTAGGTGGCCCAGGGCATTCTATCCCGCTGCAGTTCCTCCGAGCGGGATGTCACACGGTTCGTGTCTCGACGTTGGCAAGAATTTTGAACACGTAAGATAGAAATTTTGCCACTGTGTGGATGAGAATTCTAGCGACCGGCTGCCGTGCTCGGTAATTTTCCGTAATTTCTTCTATCAACTCCAAGCGAGTGCCGGAGCGACCTAACAACCGAGCCACAGACCGCGCGCGATCTTTCCATCATCTTCTCTGTCCTATCCCTATTATACGTACGCGCACTCCACTACCACGCTCGCCGGGATAGCAGTCGGCAGCTTAGAGCTTGTCCCGCTTAGCTTAGACGTGGCGGCGCTCCGCTGGCGGAAGATACCTGGTGGAGGAAAAACCCTATAAAAAAAGCTATATAGGACGGCGCCGGATCTCGCCACCTCCAGCGGAAAAAAGCATGCACTAACTTTCGTAACTAATGACCTTAGTAGTGGGCGCTCCCGGAACCGCTCACCAGTCAATCAATTGGGGAGAATGCCCATGGCGATAACACACATTGCCCAATCCACCCCGAGCAGAGCAGCGGCGGCCCGCCGGTCCGAGGCGGCGGAGGCGCGCGCGTCGTCACAGGTGTGGAGAGGGAGCCGTTGTGTGTGTGGGGGGGGGGAGGGGAGGGGCGCGCGCCGCGAGGCCCGTCGCAGCAGCGCCAGTCTCGCGCCACCGCCTCCTGCGAGCCGCAGCGTCTCTCTCGCCATGGCCTCCTGCTCGTCCGCGCGCGCGGCGCCCGCCCTCGCCCTGCTGCTGGCCGCCGCCTTGCTCGCCCCAGGTACCCGAGCATGCCTCTGCTCTTTCCATTCAACCGCTTCACTGGTTAATAATGAAAAAAAAATACTAAAAATAATGAAATTATTATTTTGGTCATTTATTAATTGGTGATTCCGGACGCGCCGGCGGAGGTCATTAGTCCAGTAAGTGTAGTGAGAGTTTTTCGCGGGAGTTTTTTTTCGAGGTGGCGTCCCCGGCTGGATAGGCGCCGACCTCCTTGTCGGCTGGCGGAGTTATCCCCAACCAGGTACCTCCCACCAGCGTGACACACCCCAGCCGTGTGGTGGTGTAGTGCATGTATGTGTTAGTGAGTGTAAGAAAGGGGTGAGGATAGGGCAAGCAATGGGAAAGAATGATCGCGCGCGGTCCGGGTACAGCTCCAGCATTCACTTAGTGTTGGTCGGAGACCCCACAGAAAACTAATGAATTCGACCTATCTAGGTAGCTAGTCTCGAAATTTCCGGCACAGTGGGGACCTGAACCCTAGGTCCTCCCGGCCAGAGGCACTGCAGTGATACCAATCGACGTCCTGAGCCCCTTTATAAGAAAGGCTTAAATGACGGTTTTTTAAGAACGGCTTCAAATGTTTCTAATAAAGAACCGTGTTTTACTCTTCAATATTCTTAAAGTAAATTTCGATTCCACTCTAATTTTGGCGCCGATAGGCAGCAGCTGGGAAGAGGGAGGGGGAATACCGAAAGAATTGTGTAGACTGAAGAGTGCGAGAAAGTCTGTGCCATTCTTTAGAACCAGTAGTTATTTCCCTATAAGAAATTATCGAGTCTTTTACGCTGGACGGGAAATAATCTTCAATATCTTCAATTTAATATCGAAGTTCTACAGCATCATTAATTTCGGAATTTTTAAAATCAGAATATAGGTAAACCGTTTGGAATTCAGAACCGTTTCAAAATGAATCAGCAACTGTAACAATAACCGAATTGTTTTTTATAAAAATCAAAATCTTTAAAAAATAACCGAAACCGGATCACGGTGGCCATTAATCTTTAAAATATTAACCGAAACGGCAATTTTGTAATCATTTTCATTAAGAAAGATGGAAGTATATCGAGCAAGAACTTGTCATGTTTTTATGATGTTTATTTTGTGATACCGAAAACTTCAGGAGCTGCAGTGAATGAAAAATACCGAGCGCATTAGCGTAATGTGTTTGAGTACACTGGCAAGAGAATTGCGGGGCACTAGGTTCCGGAGGTGCTCAGGCGGCTGACTGCGCAAATGGCGCCCGAGGGGTTGCCTAAGTTCAGGGGCTTCTTCAATTAACGCGGACTGTGGAGCGCTGCAGCCCGGGGCCATTTGGGGCCATTCGTACGC